TTGCCGCGGTCGTTGCAGAGGATCGACTCGTTGGTCCATCGGGACTCGAACGACGCGGTGATACAGTCGACCACGTGGTTGCGTCGGATCGAGATCGCAGCCACGTCGAACGAGAGAATGATCAGCCCGCATCCAACACACAAGAGAAGGGCGACCAAGTACTTGACATGGATTCCATGCCGCATGGAGCGTTTGGTCATCACAAGGGGTGGTGCCGGTTCGGTGAAGTTGGGGTCGGTCATTTCACTAACATTAATTCTTCTGTGTTGGATGCAGACTTGTCATTCTCTTGTTTGCAATATCTCTCTGCCGGTAAGCTTATGAGGTTCCATCCAGTTCTGCTAAACCATGCGGGAGACTTCCAATACCGTCACAAACTTACTTTTTTGAGACAACGATTTTCACCCGTAATTATGAATATACTACGTACTAGTAGTATAAAGTATCATAGGGTACGAACTGCGTGGGAACTCGCATAACGTTAGTAAATATTTTTATAATTACTAACTTAACTACGTAGTACATGTTGAAGTGACTCGACCAAATTTTAACCAAATTGTTCAAAAATGAAATACTCAAATACTATTGGCTGATTCAAAACTCAAGCTTGTCAGTCAGTAGCAGCTATACCCTTGCAGTGAATGACTCCCTCACTGTGGGTATAAACACGACACACTACTGTAACACAACTTATGTCATTACACCATTTTGTGGTTAATTTCGAAGAATATCTGGTATATTTCAGATGGTTGTTGCTTCAAGGCCGATCGGATCAGCGGTAACTCTATAGGTCTCTCAGTGGGTCAGAGGCGCATCTCGCTGTACAATTCCTTCGGCATCCGCACGATGAATCGGTTCGCCACCTCGACTTTCGCATTCACCTAAGTGCAGTGAGGGGTGACAACATGGTGATGTACCCCAAACACCCGGCTTATCGTGTTGATCCAGAGTCGGACACCGAGGCCTTCACAACGCCGAACAGACCGAATCAAACCACTCCATCAACACCAAGTCCGTTTCGACAGCCGTTGCCGATACACGCTCGTGGAGACGTACGAACCCGCTCATGTCTTCATTAATGACTAGTACATTTGAGGCCACATTCGACCCCCGGAAATGAAACCTAGTTGAAATGGATTAGATCGTTCGGCTTGGTCGCATGCAATGTTGTATACCTTTAATCGAAATATGAGCTCTGTGCGCGACAAATTCAAAAAGTTGACAGTATGACGAACGTTGAAGTATAGGGGCAACAGCATAATTTGTTCAAGTCAATACATTGAAGTCGGTGTTCTAATAACAGTTACTACGTATTGTGCTTTCGAGTGAAACTTCGTGTTGTGGCGTGGTTTCTCGTTGGAATTTAAATCGATTTGATTGGCTACGTCAGATGAGCTCAAAATTATTAGCCAATCAAAACCTTCCCAATGAAATTCAACCAATCAGATCGATTGTGGATCGGTTTGGTCGGCGCGATTCGATTGCACCCACTCCCCAAATTTGTATCAAATCGACAATATTGAATAGTGATACTTTATTCAAGTACACTGAAGTCGATATTAATATGTATAGTTGAACAGAGTATGCTGTTATTGCCCCTTTGCTGCATGTGTCGTTTGACGACCATTTGTATATTGAATTGACTTTTTATTGCGTGATTTTCATTTTCACCGGGCACACGACACAATTCTTCGGGCAGATGGGCAATTGCTTGGGCACATGGCCAACTATATCGGGCACACCTCCAAATATATCGGGGGCATTCGTCCAACTTAACTGCAAAGTGTATATTAATAGGAAACTCAACTGCAAAATAGGTCGTCGTACAGTAGTCCTAGGTTGAGTGATTGCCGATGGCGTGCGGAGATGCCACGTCATGACAATGCATTGTGGATTCCATCTGTTGCATTTTCAACACCCGTTGGGTGGTTGCCAGCTTGCAACCACGCACACATCGCGTCTTCATGGTCCCAGTACTCGGCCAAGAGGTCGTAAAACAAGGGTTCGTACGATGCCTCTCGGTGGTCCAGGACGGATCGCGGGGTGTTCCAGGGCTTGAATATGCCAAGTCCGGGGGAGAAGTGGTGCACGTAAGTGCTAAGGATGCGCTCGGCTTTGGACGCGAACGACCACGTGACATCGTCCACGATCGTGTACGTGAGCACGACGTAGTGGTTGGGAAGGTACCCGCACGTCGTTCGGAACAGATCGTTAAGGACGTCCATGTCGTAGTAGTCGGGTCGCGGCGGCGTGGCCATGGCCCGTTCAATCGTTTCAAACGTTTGGTTCGAACTGGGGGAAAACACGAGCAACGTCGACCCAAACGCATACTGCTC